AGATGTGCTGTCAACTTTGGAAAAAAGTATCCCAGTTTACCATGTTGAGTTGGCATTGTACAAAAATTAACAGCCATATTGGTCTAGAAATGTTGAGCTTAATTTTTATTCCATTTGTACAAGGGTAATGCACTGTATTAAATATGTAAGGTCTTAAAAAATTGAAGGGATTTTGAGAGCTCATCCTATGTGAAGGGATGCTCTCTTTGCCTGGACACATGGGCAAGGGCATAGGCCTGACCCAAGATGATGTGGTAGACTTTGGGGAGCCCCTTTTGAGGGCCTTAACCTGCCTATGAAGTGGAGGGGGGATGGCTAGGGGTAGGTGGGATTTTGCAGGGGAGGGGAGGGAGAGGGAGAAGGGATTGTCATGTGAAACAAGCTTGTTCCTAATTTGAACTAATAAAATAATAATTTTTTTCACTTTTAACTGAGGTCTTTTACCATTTTCCAAAATATGCGTTTCTCATTTTGTCCAGTCACATTTGATTCTTCATCACTATTTAAACTACCATCTAGAGCAGAATCAGTTTTCAAAATAGGCAAAGAACTATCTATTCATCCTGTGAGAGATTGTCTTCCACTGCTACTGGGAACTACCGTACCTTTCCCTATGTAGGGGCTTCTTTGAAGCCCCCCATGGGGTTCCTGGCCTTAACGGGTTTCCTTGCATGTCCCTGGTCTATGTACATTCATTGGTACAGTGCCTGCCTTTACCTGGATTCTACACAATCCAGAAGGCAGTGGCCTCCCATATGAGGCAATGTTAGAATTCCTTTGTCTACAATTTCTCTTGATATGTCCCATTGTACCCCAGCTGAAACATCTAGGTTCCTGGCACCTTCATGGTCTCCTGAGGAATGCTCTTCCTACCCAAGGTTCTGGTTCATAATAGTAGTAACTTCTAGCCTCTTGGTACCTATGTTGACCTCTGTAAGTTGCTTCTCCTTCCCAAGTTCTTGCATCCTCACCTCTAGAACTTTTAATCTCTTGTTGCCTTTTTAAACCTTTAGAGATGGCTTCTGCTACCCAAGCTCCAGTATTTTGCACATTATAGTCAATGTTGGCTACATGCAAAACCCATTCTTCTAGCAGAGCTGATCTGATCTTTAAAGGCAAAAGTATTCTTTTGCATATTGGCTTTGCATTTTCATAAACTATTGTATATATAATTGATTGTCTTGTTTCTGGATCTGTTACCTGTAACTCTACTGCCCTAGCTAACATTTGTAAAAAGTCCTGGAACTCTTCTGTAGGTCCCTGTTCAATTCTGGTATAAGCTTCTGGGAGTTCTCCTGGCTCATGAACCTTATCCCAGGCGTTTAATGCTGCTTTCCTGCATAGGGACAGTATATGGTCATCATATTCAGCCTGAGCCTGTGGGTTAGCATAAATACCCTCACCAATAATCTTATCTAGAGGGGCTTCATAACCTTCCTTTATGCCTTGACACTCAAGGAGCTTCACCTCTTCCCTGACCAATGCCTTCCACTGGATTTGCCATGAATTCTCAAGTACAGCTGCTACCAATCATTCCCAATCTTTGGGTGTCACTCTGTTAAAGGTTGCCTATGAATGTAATAGCTGTTTTACATATGGGCTATGGAGACCATATGAGACAACTGATTCTTTAATGTTCTTAAGATCCTTCAGCTGTATAGGTTGCCATACATAAGCCATCTGCCTCTGAGAGTATTTCTTAGATGATGTCTTTTCTACCATGGTAGCTGAGTAGACTAATGGTGTACAAGTAACAACCTTAGAAGAATAGTCATGATTCCTGGGAGGAGTAGGTGCCTCAGATTGGAGTGATTCTGCCTCTGAGGCATCCCAATGATCTTTAAGCCTAGTAATGATATCCTCATGAAACGTTTCAATTGCCTGCATCATAAAAGATTCCAAGCCTGTTAGTGAATCTGTAAGTTGCTCTAACTACTCCTCTACACGTTTCTCTAGCTCTTTAATATGGTCGTCCTTAGACAGCATCTTGATGGTATTGAAACTGCCTTCTAGGTATTGGAGTCTAGATTGAAGGTCATGATTTGTTGATTTTGAGTCCTCAGCAATCGACCATATGGATCAATCTAATCTGTCAGCCCTGTTCTGTAAATTATCTTCCAAACATTCAAATCTAGACTCAAATTTGTGATCTGCTACCTTTGTTGCTTCAATAATTGATTGAATGACCTTGTCCAATTCTTCAGCCCTATCCTGGGTATTTTACACATTTGCATCTAGCTTCTGGGTCATAGAGCCTATCTGAGTTTCTAGCTGGCCACAGATATTCTTTAGTTCATCACAGTCCTCTGACAGCCTAGCCTCCAATGCTTCAGACATGGAGGATCTCTGTGTTTATCTTATCATAAAAACGCTGCATCTCATCTTGGGTAACAGACAGCTCTGTCTTTAGTGTATTGAACACACAGCCAAGCTTATCATCCAAATTCTGTTCCACTTGCTGCACAATTGTGGCCTGACCTAATCTGTTCTCCAAAACCTCATTGCGTAAAGCTGTTATTTCCTGTAAGTAGGTGGTAAGGTCTTTGTCCCTGTTCCTGAGGACTCTGGCTAGTAATATTATTTGTATCAGCAAGCTAACTGCCATTACTGCATATAGGCAGGTAATTGGCAGAATAGCGTCCTCCTCATACATTGAATTCATGTAATAAGCAAAAATATTACCAATTTTAGCAAATGATAAATATTCCCCCATGATTTCACCTGATTTCTACTCTTTGACCAGCAGGTGGTGTAGGCATTCAGTTAGTCTGTGCAGCGTTTGGCAGTGGTCGATAGCAGCAGTGGAGAGAGGTCACAAAGGCGGCTGCACTTAGCTTAGAGAGTATACGGCCTTGCGGCTGAAACCACTAAATGAGACACTGCTTTACTGCTGCTGCAGCCAGGGAAAGCCTTGGGCCCTGCTGAAAGCTGAGGCCTACTCGGCTCTAGGGCAGGAGGCCTCAAGGTGCAGGTAGGCCGCAGTCCAAATTGGTCCCATGCCTGCAGCTAGAAACTGCAACAGTAACTGTGGGGAGGTATGTGGACGTCTCCCAGCTGGGCAGATGGTTCTGAGCAGCTCAGCAGCAGCCAGAATGTGCTTGTGGTACATCTGGTTGGCTGTGAGCCAGGAGCACCTGTGGAGACCGGGAGCTTTTCCGGCCTAGGCCGCCTTCCCAGTGAACCCTCAGGCTTTCCAAGTGAGGCTTAGGTTTACAATATTGTGCTTCTGACAACCAGATAATGTGGGAAATTACCAATACGGAGCCAGGTAAAAATACAAGGGAATTTAATAGTGAAAAGCCTTACTTACAAAGTGACCTAGCCAACCAGTGGGCAGCACTCCGTACAGTAAGCCAAAAATGAAAGCGAAAGCAAAGCTGCCAAGTAAGTGTCCCTCACTCTATGTCACTCTGACCATGACCTCACCTAAGCGAGTGTGGCTACAGCATCCCCTACAGATCTACCTGTGAGTATAATAACCCAGGCTCTCCTCCATCTTCTGTTTTCATAGCCCTAGGTAAAACTGAGCCTTCTTTAGTCCTCTACTGGTATCTACATGAACCATACTCATGCCATTCTGCCAATGATTATGAGATGAAAAAATCCTACAATGTCTTTTTTGCCTTGTTGCCAGCTCCTTCCAAAAGTAGAAAAACTCCCAGAAGGCAGATTCAGTCCTCTTACTGTGATTCTCTAAAAGAAACAGCCTTCTCCATCCCTCTCCCATTGACCCTATAGTGCTCGTGAACAGACACTTGTATCTTGTCAAACTTTAGTAGGGGCTTTTAGTCATTGATTGGCTTGTCTTCCAGAGTTACCTGGGAAGAGTCTCAGAGAGGAGTGTCTAGATCTGGTTGGCTTGTGAACACCTATTAGGAAGATTTAAGTAATGTGGGAAGAGGCAGGAGGAACTCTGTAAGAGTGCTGAAATCAAGCAAGCAAGCAATCATGTATGCATTTATTACTCTCTGCTCTTGACTATGGATGTGATGTGACTAGCAGTTTGAAGTTCCTGCCTTGATTTCCCCATAATAATAGACTGTAGCTTGTAATTTTAAGGTGAAGTGAATTCCTTTCTTCCCTAAATTGCTTTTGGATGGAATGCTTTACAATAGCAGGAGAAATGAAAGCAAAACCTCATTGAAACAAAGATCCCTGTATAAGTAGACAGGCTGGTTCACCAGGACAATGACAGCGACTCTACATCAGGCATCGTGCTTCAGTGCATTCCTTCCTGTATTTCATGGTTTCAAATGTTGAACTATCTCCCTTAAGAATAAAGAACTAGCAAAACTGAGGTGAGGATGAGAATTAACCTCAGTTTTCTACTGCTCAGGGAATCCTCATATTTATAAGAACTGTCTTAATAGTAATGGGAGTGTAACATCAGTTTTAATATTATGGCTCTATTTTTATTTACTTACTTTTGTGGTTAATAGACTCAAACCGTGGCCATATGTAGTTAAGTGAGTGCTATGCTACTGAGCTATGTTCTGAGACCATAAAGTAATGATTTTGGCCTATGATACTAAAATTCCAAAAGTAGCTATTATAGTAGATTTGTCTTTTAAGCAGATTTTTCAATGAAATACAATAATTGTTAACTGTAAATTTGTAGTTCATCTTATGAAAGTTTTGATAAAATTGTATCATAGCAATTAAACTATGTGTGACTACTAAAATAATACATATGCTGATAGAATTCAAAGTAAAAGTTTTCAGATCCACAATGATTGCTAAGAAACTGCATGTGTGTCAAAGAGTCTACTTCATATATTATCATTTTCTAAGCTATTTTTATTTGGATCAAGCCACGTGAAGGCAATGACTGCTTTGGGATTGCATGATCTTATGGCATAGTGGCTATGTCCACATTCCTGGCAATGGAATCATATCAGTATGCCCACATACACATGCTTTACTCTAACCCATCTATAAAATGGACTTATATGTAAAGGGGGACTCTGTCTTAATAGCCTGTGTTCTGTTGTGCTCTGTAGCTCTGATGCATGCCTTGGTGTTTGGGAATGTAACTGCCATCATACAGAGGATGTATTCCAGATGGAGTCTATATCACACCAGAACCAAAGACCTAAAGGATTTCATTCGTGTGCATCACCTACCCCAGCAGCTCAAGCAGAGGATGCTTGAATACTTTCAGACAACCTGGTCAGTCAACAATGGAATAGATTCAAATGAGGTAATGTGCATCTCTTATGTTGACATTTTTAAACAGAAAGTACATATTGTCAGATAAAAGCAAGGTGTTCTAATACAGGCATAAAAGAGGGACACACTTACCAGCTTCTTTATCTCTTTGTCTGCTATTATAGACATTTTTGCCATCATGGACCTTTAACACACCAGCATTTATGCATCATGACTGAAGTTTTCACAATACCATTCTAGGATGACAGTTTCATAAGAATTTACTACTTTATTCAATCAAATAGATTTATTTTCATTCTCATTGTGTTTTTTGAAAGGATTCATTCTTAGGACAGTTTAATGTCATAATATTGGGTGATTGCTCAATGTAAACTTGCTACAATGATCCATAAAGTTTAAAAAGAAAAAGAATATAGGTAAACATGATATCTGTAGAGTTGAAGAAACAGCCCCCAAACAACCACTGCTATACACTATATAGATCAAGGAACTAGTCCACAAACACATCAACCAACCCAATAACCAAGTAACCAACTATTCTTTTAGTTAACATATAAAATAATCCCTTTTCATCCATGTTATATGTTTAATTGTTACTTCCCCAACCCATCAAGGAAGAGGGATGGGAGTCCCCTCCTGCTGGTTCCCTTTTGGCCCCTGCTAAGCCCTTTGCTTTCAAGCCACATGGACCCCACTATCCTCTTTTCCATCCTAATCCTCTCTTAGAATCTCTTCTTCCTGATGAGCCCTTTCTACATTCATAGCTGCCCCCACAGCTACAATGGAATTTTATTCAGCCATGAAGAACGATGAAATTATGACATTTTCAGGGCACAAATGGATAGAACTAGAAATCAATATATTCAGTGAAATAAGCCAGGCACTGGAATACAAATACCTCATTTTCTCTCATATTTGAAACCTAGTAACAAGTATTTTAAGAGTGATAATTTGACCTCTGCATATGATCATGACACATTAAGGCCAGTGGGTCCAAGTCCCTACATCTATCCCCAAAAGACTCCTGACAGAAGTGTCACAGTCGTTCCTTCCAGGATACTTTAGAGTTTTTAAAAATTTCTTCAGATTTATTAGCAACTGATTATTCAGTGATACATAGATAAGGTCGTAGTCATGCAGAGAATACATCAACCTCCTCCTGAATAGTGCAGCTGACCTGAGTAGGAAGAGCGTCACTGGTGTCTTGCAAAGTCATTGACTGCACCCAACTCACTATGATTTCTTTTCTCCCTTCCTCTTCTCCAACAGCTTTTGAAAGACTTTCCAGATGAGCTGCGCTCTGACATCACAATGCATCTAAACAAGGAGATCTTACAGCTGTCCCTGTTTGAATGTGCCAGCCGGGGCTGCCTCAGATCTCTGTCTCTCCACATCAAAACGTCATTCTGTGCTCCAGGAGAGTATCTGCTACGCCAGGGAGATGCTCTTCAGGCCATCTACTTTGTGTGCTCAGGCTCCATGGAAGTTCTTAAAGACAGCATGGTATTGGCTATTTTAGGTAGGTTTTCACTGAAAAGTTTCTCTGAAATTTTACCCTAGAGTATGAGGAATACAAAGTAGGGAAGGAGAGACAATAATAGGAATTGGCAAATTACAGATGCATATATGGACTCCATGTTAAATTCAATTTACCTAAGTGTTATATATATCATATCATGTTTTTATATAAAAAAGTTCAGGCAGTATAAATGTTATCCTATTTTACAAGTGAGTAAATGTCCTCTTAATTCACTGTACCAGATTGCACATATAGTGAAGTCTTTCTGACCTCTAATCATAATACATACAGCCTCCTGTGGAACAACAGCTCTGTTTTCATAGAGAATTTCTGCATTTTGCAGAGAGCCAGTCCAAAGAACACTTGAATTAAGTTTTATCTGTGCCAGAAATAGAGAAAAATGATTTAACTTTGAGAACAAATTTTGTTACTGCCATTAACCCAATACTGCTATGTGACACAAGTTCCTTTTAGTTCCTCAAAGAAAACTCATAACTGTGAAAACTCTGTACCTTGATGTTGACTTGAAATATTAGACCTAATTATTTTTCATTGACATATAAAGGGAAGGTGGCAGAAGATGGTATGCGGGTTAATGTAGAAAAATCCTCTCCTAATTTTATGAGGTTGTTTTCAAATTCACTCTCATTGTTTATTGAGAATCGGTGAGTGAACTGGACAGTGTTCTGAGCACTAAGAAGGTGGCAAAACAGACATTGCTAGAAATTTTGCCCGTGTCAGGATTAAACTCAAGAGAAAGATGAGATGGAAAATTTGCCTGGGATGTGAGGTGGTTTGATGGGGAATGTACTGTGTATGTTCATCTTATTGTTAAATAAAGTTCTGTTTGGCCAATGAGACAGCAAGTTAGACAGGACTAGGAGTCAAAGAGGATTCTGGGAAATGTAGTAGAGAAGTGGTGATCCAGGACGGAAGTGACATAGCAAGAAGACTCATATAAGCAAGAATAAAGAGGAAGTGTCCCTTTTCCCCTTCACATCCTCCATCGGTGGGATGTGAGCCATGGGCAAGAGAGGGTGCCAGCAGAAGGCATCTTCTATAAGATAAGTCTTATAAAATATATAGATTTATGATAATTAAGAATGAGAAATCCTAGTCATTGGCCAAGCAGCATTTGAACCTAATACAAGTTTCTGTGTATTCATTTGGGCCCTAACTCGGGCGGGCGGATGGCATAAAGTACACATATGGCGGTGGGGCTCAGGCGGCTTTTGGCGTTAAGATTTATCATAACAGTGGTTGAACATTAATGAATCTGAGGTACATTTTAAACAGCAATGAAATACAGCAATGTCTAAAATCATGTCAATAAATGATTAATGAAGCGCATTTTCTCTAAGAAACTGACTTGTGGACAGCTCCTTGCAAAGTGTTTTAGTACACGGGATATTTAAACCTTCATAGCATGTAGACCCAGATGTAGAGGTATTTTCTGGTTCTGGATGAGAGACCACTACACCTTCCTTATCTAAAGAATACTTATCACTTTATGTCAGTGCTACCAGCCTGTCACTGAGTGAGTGAGTTTCAATATAGAATATATTTTAGAAGAGAGAAGTCATAATTCTTGAGCCCTAAGTATAAACTGGTTCCTTTGGTCCATTATCAAGTCTTGGAATCCTGTCAGATCTGAATGTGTTTTCCAAATTTATCTACTGAAACCCTATCCTTGGCAAGATGGAATAAGGATGTGGGAACCTAAGATGTAATTAGTACCTTCCAAAGTGGAAACCTTAGAGAGCCACCTGCCTTTTTCTGCCATGAAATCACAACGAAAAGCCAGCAAGTATTATACACTGAACCTGCCAAAGCCTTAACCTTGAACTTTTAGCTTCAGAACCATCAGAAATACATTTCTGTTGCTTATCACACCTTAGCTGCATTGTGCTACAGCATAGCTAACAGACTATGACAGGGTGACTGCATCAGCTAAAGGGGACTAGCTGGGTACTGAGTGCTAACAGAACCCTGTGGCTGTGGCTTTCACTGCTCATGTGGGATTCAGTTTCACTAATGCAGGAAAGGTGGGGCTTGCCCTTAAAGATTTGGATCGGTTTTTATTAGGCTTCTGTGATTTTCTCCTTGAAGTAAGTGCAGAACACTGTAAAACAGTCCCTCCCTCTTCTCAACCTACAAAGTTAAAGGACAGTCATTCTACCATTTTGTAGTTCTGGCTTAGAATTGACAATGATTTCTAATTTGCTTCCAAACATTGTTTAAGTTATATTTTCCTGCATGTTTCCCTAGTACCAATGAAACTTTTATAGCCAGATGATTTGCCTATTTTTGAGAACATTTAGCCATTGTTTTCAGAACCTTATGATGTGACATACATGCAAGCAGATATAACACACCATTGAAAAATAGTCAGGCTTTCCTTTAATTCTTGTCCATTCCATTCTTACATTTGGTGACCAGCAAGAGTTTTAGAAATGGAAGATGAACCTATGACATTAAAACAAAAAGGTGGAAACTGAATGGCTGCTATGTGACTGCTATGGCTTACAAAAAATGATCCAATAGTAATAATTCATAGAATTAAAATTACTTACTGCTGAAAGATTTGCTCCATTGCTCTCTTGCTCCCTGCTCCAAATTTGTCCATAAGTTGTGATTTTTATGATGTTATTTCCCTACTCTGCTCCCACCATTAATATGTTGAAAGTGGTGGTGTAAGTTCAGTTTGTTCCATGATCATTCTTAACTCTGATATGATCGCACACACAAGCAAAGGTTCAAGATGAATATATCAGTGGGATAATGTAACTCTCTTCATGAAACTAATTCAACCTAAACTGATTTCTAAGCATACAGCTTCATATTTGGTCTCTAGCTATTTAACAGGAGTTCGTTCTGCCACTGAAATGAATTAGTGGTCTTGTGAGGAAGAAGTTTGTATGCATCAACTCAAGCAACACCATCTTCCAATCAGTACATGAAAACATTTCCAGATCTGGTGCCTGGAGACAGCTGCCGTAGGGATTTGTGGAGAAGGCAGAAAATGGCAATAGGTGACAAGCAGTGCCATGGCTGATGGTGTTTAGCTGCCTCTGTGTGACTCAGTGTCCTTTTCCATTACTGTTGTTGACCCTCAAAGACAGACCATCTCTGAAAAGATGGAGGCTACCCACAACTCATGGATGGGGGGGTGGGAAATCATTCTTTTCTGCCAGAAATAAGGACACTAAGACCTGGAGTCATTAAGGTTTAGAATCCCAACAAAAACAGGGAGTATCCACAGGGCAGTGACTGAAGCCAGGAGGGTTAGTCAGAGCTCCTTGTGCAACTCAGCACCATTATTCATGGACCATAAATACTCAGCAAATTCAAAAAGAAAACTGGAACTCTTTCCAAGGTGCCAAATTTAGCAGCCATAAAAACAAAAGTATAGTGGCCTCATGTTACTCCAAATGTCTCTGGCATAATAGAATCTTATACTTGGCACTGTCCTGATAATCATCCCCGGATAGATAAATGCAGAGTCAGTGTACTGCCTACTTACTGTCTGTAGCTTACATCCACCCTCAACTTTTCATTGCTAAGAAACTGTGTAGATTTTTAACAAAATATAGAGAAAACATAATTTCAGATTTAGCAATATGAGTGAAAACAATAAGTCAAGCTTGAATTCTTCCAGAAAATGTGACCAGAAACTAAAAAATAGACTAAAATATGTTTTGTTTTCATCTGCCAAAGTAAACTTAATTTCAAAGCTTAAATCTAGTATTAATTTTAAATTAATATTTGGTGCAATTTAATAATTTACCTTCAAATTTTTATTTCATACACAGTCTGAATATATCAAGCATATTTGATTAATTTCATGTTACGATAAATCTTTCCGCCAAAAGCCGCCTGAGCCCCACCGCCAAGTGTGAGCTTTACACCTGCCACCCGCCTGAGTTAGGCCCAAATGAATACACAGAAACCTGTATTAGGTTCAAAGCTGCTTGGCCAATGACTAGGATTCTCATCTGTTAGCTCAGTCTCAATTATCATAAATCTATATATTTTATAAGACTTATCTTATTGGACGCCTTATTGGCGTCCCTCCTTGCCGGTGGCTCACATCCTGCGGATGGAGGAGGGGAACAGGAAAAAGGGGCCCTTCCTGTTTCTCCTTCCCTTAAATATGAGTCTCCTTGCTATGTCATTTCCTGCCTGGATCACCACTTCTCTACTACATTTCCCAGAATCCTCTTTGACTCCTAGTCCTGTCTAACTTGCTGTCTCATTGGCCAAATGGTATTTTATTTAACAATCAATAAGATAAACATATACAGTACATTCCCCATCAATTTCATGTTTCCCTATAGTGATAAATTAAATAGAATGAGTTTTTATGAGTTTCATCTCATGAATTTTGTTTCAAAAATGCTGGTCACATAAAGTATAAATAAAGTATAATCATTTAGAAATTAGTTGGGAGAGTCATGGCCACCACCGTCACCACCAGAACCCAAGCAAGAGCCACAGAGCTGCCAGGTGGTGAGGAACATGACTTGGAACTTTGTCTATTCAAATAACTTGGCAATAGCTACCAGTACCAACAGCACCTCAGAGCTCCTCTGAGGAACCTGAGAGACCCACCAAGGCTTCAAGGAACAACTAAAAGAAGGCAGGTCTTAATGGTAAGATGCTTTTAAAAGGTAGTTTCATAGAATAGAAAAAAAGATGCCATAGAGGAGGAGCAAGCACAGCAGAGAGAAGCAAAAGTAGACACATGGGATGGGAGACAGGAATGTGCATGTGGCCGTGGTGGGAAATAAAAAGAAAGTTGTTGCTGAGTAGGATAGGTCCTTGAGCCACCCAGAGGCTCGCCACCACTGGGCCTGCCTCACCCCTTCGTCACACACCAGGCCAGTGCTGCTGCTCCACCTGAAAACCTGACCCACAGCACAGAGCCTCTACTGCCTCTGCCTCCCTAGTGCTGCTCTCCTTGCTGCAGAAAAAGAGAGTTTGAGACCACAGGGCTACAAGCATGATGGCCATGCCTGGCGAGGCCAGCACCGAGGGCAGAGTAGCATACGGCATTCTGGAGCTCGAGAAGATCCTGCTAGCAAAAACATTGCTCAGTCACAAAACAACCTTGACTCTGAGCAATAAAATATCCTAGATGAAGAATGATTCATTTTCTGGATTAAGTTTCCTCGAAAGACTTCTGTGGTCCATATTGCCACTACAGCCCAAAATGTTGTCTGTGATCTGTGATGCTACTTGAGACCAGGTAGAAACCAAATGGAACTGGGCTGTGGTAGCACACACCTTTAATCCCAGCACTTGGGAGACAGAGGCAGGCTGATCTCTGTGAGTTCGAGGCCAGCCTGGTTTACAAATCGAGTTCTAGGACAGGCTCCAATGCTATGGAAAAACCTTGTCTCCACAATGGGAAGAAAAGAAAAAAAAGAAAAGAAAAGAAAAGAAGAAAGAGAACCCAGGTGGAAGTTCATGATCCATGCTGCCACTGCCTGCTGTGGGCAGCTTCTTTTGTAGTGGTATCAATGACTGAAGACTCATAACTGAAAATGAAACACTGAAGGCTTCTGTGACAACCCCCCCCCCAAAAAAAACAATCCAGGCAGGAAGCTATTGGAGAGAGTCCTTAAAACTGTGACAAAGACACTAATGTGTAGTTCTTCACAGTTGATGGCTTCTGGCGGGAGGGGGTGGGGATTGGACTTAGTTTTCTTTAAGGGACTGGCCACTGGGAGTTTAACCATGCTCCAAAGTTTATATGGGCAATACAATCTGTGGGTTTTTTGGTTTGAGGTTTCTTTTGTTTGTGTGTGGGGGGGGGGGGATAAGGATGGAAGGGTAGACCTGGGAGGAATGGGAATCAAAGTGTGGTAAGGTACATTGTACAAAATTCCCAAATAATTGATAACAATATTATATTGGTGAAAATTAGAAATTAGAGGAAGTAATTGAATATGGAGATGGGATAGTTTCCTTGATAACACTACCCTTTAAAAGGGGATTTATTTATGTATTTTATGTATATGAGTGCTATGTCTGCATGTACTTCTGCATACCTCTTATAGATGATTGTGAGCCATCAAGTGGTTGCTGGGAATTGAACTCAGGACTTGTAGAAGAGATATCAGTGCTCTTAACTGCTGAGCCATCTCTCCAGCCTACTTGATAACAATTCAATGGCATGTCTTCCTTGGTATTGAGGACTGTGCAGCTGTTTGTCTCTGTTGCTTACAACATAGCAAAAAGACCATTCAGATAACCACAGTTAATCCCTGGGTGTAATGTCCTTCATAGACAGACTCAGAAACCTTTCTAGAAACCCAAGTTAACACCAGTGCCTGGTGTTCTCTGTGAACATGTTCCTGTTCCTCTAGCCTTCAGCCCAAGTTTGTCTAAGAATGAAAGGTTTCTTCATGTCTTTTGTGTGGCTTCTGGATGACTTTGTGGCCATGTCCAAAGTACATCAGAAGTTAAATTCAGTGACTTCTTGATGCTTGAAGTTATTTCTCCTTTCTGATATTTTCAACTCTTGAAATCACTTAAAAGATTTAAAAGATGGAATTGTCCAATATTAGCTCAACAACAAACAAGCAAGTTAGTTCCCAGAAGATAGCCTGATTACTTTAGACAGCCATACTGCTGTTAGACATCAAGGAATTAGGGCACAGTGGTCCCATGAGTAGTCATGTGAGACCCCAAATTTTGGTCCACTCACTTCCTATCTGGGTGGAGGACATCCTTACACTGTCACAGAATATGACAACTGGGAGCCATGCTCCAATGTTATACACTACTATATGTGTGAACCATGGCCAAAATGTTCAACCCATACCCTTACTCCTGACTTAGAAGAGGGACAGAGAGTTCCTTCTTCTACTTCACCCTTCTGTTCATCTTGGAAACACCATCACAAGTAAATGAAAGAACCTTAGTCTCTTGAATATCACACTTCTGTTACTACCAGAAGTTCTAGAATCTAGACAGTAGGTTTCCTGATGCACTGACCTGAGATATTCAGAGCCATTTTTCCATCTTGGAAAACCAGTTGTTACTACCCTCTTGAATGGTGAAAGTGACTGTGACAAATTGACAGATCTGAAGTCATTTTTCAAATCCTGCCAGAGAGCTGCTTAGAGCCCATGAATGATCTATGATGCCTAAGCCACCCACCCATGTCCAGTAAACCAGTGCTCACACCAGTGACAGTTTTATCCATCACAAGATATTTGACAATGTTTGAAGCTGTTAACATCTTGCATACCATGACAAAAGAGCAAATGAGCCCCAACTCTCAGTGCTATTGAAATTGTGCATCTGTGCTCGAAATGGTCTTCTCTTTCTTGTACAATTTGAGAGAAATGGAGTCTGCAAGGCAAAGGAAGTGACTGGGTCCCAGTGGTTATGCTTTTCTTCAAAATGATATGGTTCTTTTTCTTGTCACTGCTCCTAGGAAAGGGAGATTTAATTGGAGCAAATCTATCAATTAAAGACCAAGTGATCAAGACCAATGCTGACGTGAAGGCACTGACCTACTGTGATCTTCAATGCATCATCCTTAAAGGTCTCTTTGAGGTCCTGGGCCTTTACCCTGAGTATGCACACAAATTCGTGGAAGATATCCAGCACGACCTCACATACAACCTTCGAGAAGGGCATGAAAGTGACGTAAGTCCCCTTTCTGATTAGCACATGGGGCTGGGGATCAGATAGAACAGCACAGACAAATGCCATAGCCTCCTTTCAAAGGGCTCTGCAGGTAAGATATTCAGCCCCTGGTTAACTGATGGATTCACTAGAACCTGCAGTTCCTTGCTAGCATGGAAGCAAAGTACTATTTGTAGGCAGGTTCTTGCTTGCTCATCTTCAAATGCTTGTGTCTAATTGCAGTTTCAGTGATACACAGTACTTATCTGGAGATAAGTGATGCCCCAGAGTTTGACAATTTCAAGAGAAAATATGTGGGACAGAGTTTGCTGTGTGCAGCTGTTCAGTCCTTCAACTGCTAGACTAGAAATTTGCTAGAAACTAACCTTTTTGTTAAAATGGTACCCCAAACAATCTATCTCAAAGTGACCGAATTTTCATAAGTGGATTCAAGCCGAGGATTGTCACACTTAAAGCATAATGAACATTTTGAGCAATTTATATTTGCTTCATGTTTCAGTTTATACAAACAGCTTTTCTGTCAACATATGTACTATTCTGTGTTTTGTGTTTAAGCTGATTGTGAACATAACTTCATTAGATGTGTCAGTGATAATGAATAAATAGGAATGATTGTTGAAAGGCAAGCCAGAGAATGCAACTCATTGTGTGATAATCAGTGTCTTATCTCAGATATTTGTAAGCACTTGGATCATTAAGAAACCTTAGTTATGACTAATCCATATTATATAGACATTCTGGGTAATCACTAGCAATCTCTTTTGAAAAATAGATAGAAAATGGGAATTGTATATTCTTTCATCTAGGTTTGGAATATATGTGATGTTAGACAGCTATATGATGTCCCGTCCTCTCCACTGGTGATAGAAAACGCCAATGAGGGTCGTTATTTACTAGCTACCTATTATGCTAAACACTCTTCCCATACAAAGCATTTCATTGATTAAAAGACTCTTTAAGATAAATATCAGTACATTTCTGTAGCAGAACAGATTCCAAGTGGCTGTAGTCATGCAAACTTGCAGGTGCCTAGGGCAACCATATGAGAATGAAACCCAAATTTAAAGTCTACAATTGAGCAACAAAGGTCCTGCCTTTTCGTGAAAATCTCCCATGCATCTCATGCAATGAACTGAATCTTAAAATTCAAAGTGTAGTTTATGTTCTCAATGATAGTATAAAATGACAGTTTAAGGAATATAATATAATGTTTTGAAATATGCATCCATTATTAAATATATAAATCAAGGTAGTTAAAATATGTGTTTCTCACATTCATATTCATTGATGATAGCATTTAAAATGCCCTCAGCAATAGTCATGTATAAAACATGTCATTGTTAATGAAAGACACCATGCTGAAAATGAGATGAAATGTTGTGTCCTTGTACCAATATCTCCTACCTGCCTCAACTAACTGCCATCCTATCCTCAGCTTCTATAATTTCTGCTTTCTCCAGATTTCACATGAAGGTGAAATCATACAGGATCATGTCAGGCTTATTTCACTAAGCATACCCTCCCACTCCCAAGTTTTTCAATGTTTTAAATTATAGAACTTCCTTCTTCATTGAGTCAATAGTATTCCCAAGTACATAAAGTGTTTTCTTTATTCCTCTGTCCAAAATGATTGACATTCAAGTTGATTCCATGTCTTGACTATTGGGAAGAATGTGGCAATAGCATGAATATACACATATCTATGTCACATACTGACCACAGCTCATTTGCATGCATAAGTAGTAGAATTGTTGCATTAGTGGTTGCATCTTTAGTGTCTGCTGTCCCTTCCCATCTACAATATGTAAGGACCTCCCCCCCCTTCTAATCTGTAACAATACTCACCTTTCAACTTTGTGACTGCCTGAGGAGACACTCTGGGAAAGAAGGATGAGTGCAGAAACTGTGGAAATTATAGTGCTGCTCTGGGCCTAGGTGATCAGCTATCCCTCCCTGAGCTAATGCCACTAGGTACATGGGATTGGCCAGGCTGCTACTTTGTGACAGGTACCCAGAGACTGAGGGAAAATACAGCAAAGAGATAGCCTTTGTAAAACATCACCAATGATGTTTTGAAAGAGCTTAAAAGAAATGTAAACACTGAACACTAAATAAAATTAAGTTAATGTAACCTACATGTTTATCTAAAACATAGGAGGGTGCATATGAACTGAAGCTTCCTGTTGAGATTTTATTGTTCTCTGTTACTTGGCTTTCAAAATGCTTTCTTACACACACATACACTCACACCATAATACACACCACAACACACAAACAACACAACACACACACACACACACACACACACACACACTACATATATATCTCCAAAATCTTGTGATACAGTTCCGTGGCTGGATAACTTTGGACCACTCTTCTGTGTAATCTGTAACCCTGTGGGAAGCTACTGCTCCAGTATTCTTTGACTTTCAGGAAAAGTTACAAACTGATGCCAGCCTGTGCTTAGGGATCCCTGTTCAATCTGATGTGCCACTCTGTTGTCAGCAAATTTGGATTCAAACACCATTCCTTAATTCCCATACATGCACATAGAAATAACCAACCACAGAGGTTCTCTATAGAATAATGGTCATGAAAGATGAAACACTTCTGTTAATGGATGTGTAAACAACATAAATGGAACTACCTAAATCCACTTACTCTGAAAACTTGAGTTGCTACTTATACAAAGTAGCTCATAGACTATCAGATCTGCAGATTTCTCATTACATAGTGGTGAAACTGTCTAACTATAGACAATAAAAACAAAATAATAAAAAACAAGACTGACAGCAACCCATTTCAAAACAGAACAGAAGCAGGAAGGATCGGTTAGCATTTAGGAGGGACCTGTGGAGCACTGGGACTGGGGCTCCTGCAGCTCCATTAAACTGCACAGCTTTAGAAGGACATCTTACCTCATTCTCACAGGAAAAATAAAGTTTATGTGCTATTTGGTAAATTTGTTGAATGACTAGCTATTGCTATTTTGACCTTGTGCTAATTATGTACCTTAGGCTATTGGCATATTTTCTGAACTTGCCCCAATTCATAGCTCCTGGTGGCCACAGTGATATTAACTTAGTCATTTCTGTCAATGCAGATTCTTATTAGTTTACATCACTGTTTGTTATGATAAGCTTTATAAATTAGTTTAACACAAGTTCATCTGTTTTTGAGAAATTAGTTTTCCTTCATATAAAGAGATTTGAATTTGAGATAAACAAATAAAATGATTGGAGAACATCCAAAACAACTGTTTTCAAAATGAAGAAGGATGAAACTCAGACATCCATGTAACTACATATAAATATTGTATTGCTGTGCTCGGTGGGTGTTGATTTGCTATTGATGGGGTGATGGCTGTGCAGCAATAAATGCCAAACATTTTGGGGGAAGTCCTTAATTCTGTCATACTGTGAAGTCTCCAACTAGAACCTATTAAAGTTATAAATGTGCTCATCATCTCATCTCTACCTCAGTTTCCACTCATTATATTTTATCTGAGGAGCCTAAAATGCTAAGCCACCTCATTCTGTATCCCCACTTTATTTTTAACTAAAAGGGGAAACGGTCCTGTGATTTAGTGGCTTCCAGTCATCACTGTGACATTCTTTGAGCTGCTACGTACAGGAAGCACAAGCAGTAACCTCAACATTCTGAAAGAGGCTCTGGATGGAAAGGGGGTCAGAAACACTCATCCTCAGCATCTTCTAATGGCACTTGGATGGTTCCTGCTGCTGACTCACAGAGGCTTAAAACATGATGATTCATCACAATGCAGGAGTCCTCCGATTGTTCCAAACATAAGGACAATCGATTTGTAATGTGCTTGCAAAAATGAATACTCAAGAGTTCTGATTTGCTTTTGCCAAGAGTGATTACACAGTCCTGCATTCCCAGCTACTCTTGAGACTGAGGTAGCATAATTGCAAGTTCAAGGCCAACCTAAACAAATGTGCATCAAAAATAAAAGACTTGGGGAGAGGGGAAAGCACATAGCTTAGTAGTAAGGTATTCACCTTGCATTGTGAGGCCCAAGTTTCAATTCCCAGTAATGAACACACACACACACACACACACACACACACACACACACAGAGAGAGTTTCAGCATAGTCACATGTATTGAATGGAGAGTCATAATGCTACACATAATACTAACTTTTAAATAATGAAAAATAAACAAATGTATGTGGTGATATATTGTTTATAATTTAATAAGGCCACTGGAGATGAAAATGCAAAGCTAGCCACATCCATAGAGCCAGGCAATTGTGATACACATCTTTAATTCCACAAACCACACTAGTTAGCTGTAGAATCTGGGCAGTAGTGGCACACAACTTCAATCCCAGCACTCAGGAGACAAAGGCAGATGGATCTCAGTGTGTCCAAGTCCACTCAGGGCTACATGAAAGTGAATCACTCTAAAAGAGAAACAGCTCACACAAAGGAGATCTCAGCACTTGAGATCCCATGCCTTTAATCTCAGCTCTAGAGAGGTATATATAAGATAGGAGAGGGACATTCATCAGTCAGTGTCAGAGATTTATTCTCCAGCCACACTGAGGACAGGAGATCCGTTTCAGCCTGAGGTAGAGGTAGGAGCTAGTGGCTGGTTGCTTGGTTTCTCTGTTCTTCAGCTTGGACCCCAATATCTGTCTTTGAGTTTTTATAATTATAATTTGAGTTACAAATGTAAACAATACATTTTTGTGAAAACATATACATTAAATGTAACTGTTTCTTTTACAAAATAAGAAAGACCACAGGACTCTTGGCTCTATGCTCTTGAGTTTTGGGGGCTATGCTCCATACATAGAAATCCTGAGGACAGGCCATTAAGACTTAGTATATTCAAAGTAACTACCATCCTCTACAAACTTGCCCTACCCTTTCTTCTCCCCTTTCCTCACCAAACCCAATGCCACAGCCAAACTCATTGTTTTTGTCCATGTGAACTCTCCCTTAGTGTCGGATATGTATTTCAGGGCTTTC